TATATATATATATATATTCTCTTGTGAAAGTGCTCACATGCCGTATATTGGAGGTTGAAAATTTTCCTCCACAACTGTTTTCCTAGCATAATATATATATATATATATATTTATTTATTTATTTTTTGGCTTTAAAAAGAAGTACGTTGTTATGCCCCTTTTAATGAGACTCTAAGAGTTGGCTATATGGCAGCCACATAATGAGCGAGCCCAAGCTCACACTCCACAATGCCAAATTCATGTGACAATTTCTCCAAACCTCAATGAAGAGGCCGAACTCCTATGAAAATGCCAAATCCCTATGAAGATGGCCGAACCCCTATGGACGAGGCGAGACGATGCAAGGCGATACAGGGATCTTTCGTACAAAATCTTCCTTGATTGATTGATGTAACTAGTAACTGTAGCAACCAGTCTTTGAAGTCAAAATATCACATATAGTCCTAACAAGCTAGGCCATAGGGGCTTTAAATGATCAGAACATTGAATGCATGTAAGCCTAGGAGTGACAAAACTACGCTTATGACAAGGTGCCTCAAACGTTTAGATGAGGCCACACATCTCTCCATTCAATGGTTATTATTCCTCCAACGCTACTATAAAAACTCATATTTCCTATCATTTGAAGGTAATGTAATTTTATATTCTCACCGATAATTTTACTCTCTCATTATTCTCTCTATACTACCGGATCCAAACCCCTTATATTTTGGCTCACATCTCTAGCATGTCCTACGCTCAAATACTTATTTTGAAATAGACCGACTTCATTGTCGAAGTGTTCACAGCCATCTCCCCCACCACTGGAGAAGGCTGTGTGCTTTAACGGTTTGTCCAAGTGGATGGAAGAGGTTACATGAACATGAGTTGGAGTCGAATCTATTGATCGTGTCACCCCTACAAAAATTGAGGTTTACATATGTAGTACTTCTTATATGTTTTTGAATTCTCTCTTCTCCATCTTGACGTAATTCTGGAAGTAAGGCTACCAAGTCCCATTTCACTTGTAGTACTCTTCAATCCATGGGAGGATCTAGAGATGGGATGGGCTATGCTACAACATGTCCCTCTAGCCCAAATGTCAATTAACAAAAATTAGTGAAAATTTTTTGTGGAAATTACAGGAAAACCTAGAGTTAAAATCTAGGGTTCTAAAATCAAATTTCAACTTTAACTTTCATTAATTAATAACAAATAGAAAAATTAATTAATCTATCAAATAAATAATAATTTCAAACCTTAATTTATTCATTTCCTACCTCTTGTTCTCTCTCTAAACCAGGGAACCCTTCTCTCCGTTGCCTCACCTTTCAACAACTGTCTCGCCGCCTCACTAAGAACCTCTCAACCTTAGACCACCAGCGTTGAAGTGAAGCCCCTAGAAGCCGTCGGAGTGAAGTAGTGTCATATCTAATTTCATGCTCCTCCCTCTCCTCGAAGCCACTCGGAGTGAATCAGTGACTGTCGCAGGCATCGTCATTGCGATGTGCCTCTGGATGTGAAAGATGATGGGACGTGGTGCTGGGTGTGTTGTGGTTGTGTGGTGTGGTTGTATTGTGCTGGTGTGGTGCCGTGGGCCGTGGGAGAGGTGGTGGTGCGTTGTTGCGATGTTGTGTAGGGGTGGTGGTTGGGCGTGCTGTTGTGTAAGGGTGCGGTGGTATTGGCGGCATGGTGGTTGCTCTAGTAGTGTGCGGTGCTACTAACTGGTTGTTGTGAGATGGTGGGTAGCTCTACGGTGGTAGATCTAATGGTTTGGTGGTGTTTGGCGGATCTGGTGTTTTGGTGGTGGTTAGCGGTGGTTGTGGTAGTGGGTGGGGTGATAGTGAGATGTTGGTGGCTGTGGTCTGTTGAGGTGGATGTGTTGATTCGTTTGACAGTGGTGTTGTTGTCGGGTGGTGGTGGTGGCGGTTTTGGTAATGATGGTGGCAGTGGTTGTCGTAAATGTTGATGGTGGTCACAGATTATTTGGTTGATTGTAACCATTAAATTGGTAAATTTGTAATCAATAAAAAATGTGACTAATAAAAAAGATAAATTGTGACAAAAAATAATGTGTGACCAAAAAAATTAATAATTTGTTACTATTGTGACACTATAATATCTGTGATCTGTAACGTATAAACAAAATTGTGACGTGTAAATTTTTGATCTGTGACTGATGAACAAAGTGTGAAGTGTAGAATTTTTGAATTATGGCTGTAAAATAATTTGACGTTAAAAAATTTTGATTCATGACCAAAAAAATAATATGTTACTAATTAAAATATAAATCTGTGACCAAATTGTATAGAGTTGTAACCTTAATTTGTTTAATTAATAAAATATATAATTAATTAAATAAATTATAAATAAATTTTAATGAATATCTGATTTTTAAAATTTAAAACTTTTTTTCTTACTTTTAAAATAGACAATAGTTATCCTCTTATTTGAAAAATTTTCCTTTTTTTGTATGTGTGATTTTTCCCCCCTTTTTTGTGTATATTAGCACATTTTTTTCCTCGATCAACCACTGCTTCAATCAATAAAATAAGGTCAGAGAATCCAACCCCCCTCTTCCCCTTCCCCAGTAATATCTAGTTGGAGGCCTA